TCTCTCTATCTATCTATCTATCTATCTATCTGTCTGTCTGTCTCTCTCTTGAATTCTCTCTTTCTCTGCTACCACGAGGATCACAGCGCTGGATACATCTGCCTCCTGCTGATGCTCTACTACTACTACTGTGCGGCTATGGCCGCCTGCCTTCCACAGCATACCGCTGCCCAGCAGGGCTCCTTAGCACTCAGTCACTCGCAATAGCGCACAAGCACCAGCAGCACTTCCACCTTCCTGTGAATGCGCAATCTGCTTGAATGAGTCTGGGACAGTCTTCTTATTGAGTTGAACTGGGCCTGTACTTCACTCGGCCTCTGCTTGACTTGGCCTGGGCCTGACTTTGAGTGGTACAGGTCGCCCGCGGTACCTTCCAGACTTTTCTAGGAGTGATGCTGCATTTTGACTGCGGGACTGGACTTGAAGGATGGGTACTGGTTGGATTTTGAACGGGTGGCCTTGGTACCCGACTCAACACATTTTCTGTTTCGGCGTGCTTGGCCACTTTTGAGTTGGGAACCTTGACCCTAACTCGAATTTGGGGTCTGCAACGTGAAAATGCTTTTGACTCTCGCCGGCCTGATTTCGAGGTCCTCAGAGAAAATTGCAAACTTTACCTATCTACTATGTTGACACCTCTGCGAGCCCTTTCACAATAGGAAACTATATGCGGGATCTCAAATAAACCAGCGACCTTCCGTAGGCTCTTGGTAAGCAAATTTAACTTTATACAGTTGCTGGGGTCTCCCTCTGCATTCTGATCTGTAGACATCTTCTGCAACTATCCTGTCCATATCTGGAGGGATCATTGATCTTGATGGAAACTGATCATTACTGACACCGGGAAGCACGAGGCATGAAACACCGGATATGTATGTAGATGAGGTGGAATTTCAACAACATAGGAAGCACCATCTACATCACCAACGGCATCAAGAATCTGCCAATGTCCCCTATATGCAGGTAGCAACTTCTGCAACATGTTTTCCTCTGGGAGAAACTCTTTCAACTTAACCCAAACTAAACCACCTACAGCAAACTGTGAAGGTCCGCGTCATCTGATGTTGGGCTTTTCTAATATTCAATGTGGCATTCCAAGTCCTTTCAATACTGCACAGCAAACTTTCTTGTTCCTGGCAGCAATCTCTGAATTTGATCAGGATTCAGACAGTCAATAGGCCAGCTGGTGCTCCATCCCCTGTGCAATTCATTAGGTGTTCAAGCCGTAGCCAGGTGCACATATACATGTGCAGCACTTGCTGAAGCAGTTTATTCATATGCTTTGTCTGGCCGAGTCGAATTAGAACCGTAGACATTGATCAGTTGTTGCCAGTGCTCGAATGTACATTCTCTATTTCCATTTCTAGCTAAGGGTCTCTCTCTCTCTCTCTCTCTCTCTCTCTCTCTCTCTCTCTCTCTCTCTCTCTCTCTCCCC